GCAAGTGTTCTGGATGATCCTAACATACTTCACAGATTAACCTGTTTTGTAGCAAGTGTTCTGGATGATCCTAACGTACTTCACAGATTAACCTGTTTTGTAGCAAGTGTTCTGGATGATCCTAACATACTTCCGATTCAACTACACATGGATATATAATCTATTCCTAAAAAGAACTGTGTACTATAATTAAATTATCATGTGTTGAGAAAAGTTTATTAATTTTATAAATATCTGAAAGGTTCTATCTGTAACAGGTATTTTCTCTTTTGCAGGAGACACAGTTTTACTTGTATGCTTTGTATAATAAAAATAAACCAAAATCAGACTCGTTGATGGTGGAATACGGCAACTCTTTCTTCAAGGTAAGTGAAAATGGAATATCTGTTATTTAGGTTCAATGTTTTCTTATTCAGCACTTCAAAAATACAATAAATGTTTTTATAATTATATTTTAAAAACTACAAGTCATATGCAGGGTTTCCTAACCTTTCCTTCCTGAGCCCCACTTAATTATAACCGTTTATCCAGTGCCTCCTCCAAATCTGAGAATATGGGCCAGTTATCAACCCATTTCTTCACCCATATTATTGGCCATCTTAAAATTTTAGTCAAGTCAGGAAATTTGGAATATTAATTCTTTTTTATTGAATTGATTTCGTATATTGATCTAGAAAAATTTATACAAAACTTTGACATTAAGTATACATATGGCATTAGATAAATAATTAAGTAGAGTGATTTAACAGTGTATTTTTCATTGTTAATTTTTGTGTTTTAGAAGAAACAGCTGGAGTTGGGTGACAAAATGGATTTATCCTCTTACCTGCTTAAACCTGTACAAAGAATGGGGAAGTATGCCCTTCTGTTAAAACAACTACTAAAGGAATGTCCGGAGAAGAACTCTGAGTACCAGGACTTGAAGGTTAGTAATGGTGTAAAAACTACCGTCCAAGTGTTGTGTGTTAGAACCAGGAGTTGAAGGTTAGTAATGGTGTAAAAACTACCGTCAAAGTGTTGTGTGTTAGATCCGTTACTTGAAGGTTAGTAATGGTGTAAAAAGTACCGTCAAAGTGTTGTGTGTTAGATCCGTGACTTGAAGATTAGTAATGGTGTAAAAACTACCATCAAAGTGTTGTGTGTTAGATCTGTGACTTGAAGATTAGTAATGGTGTAAAAACTACTGTAAGCGTTGTACATTAGAACCAGGACCCGAAAATTATAAATGTTGTAAAAACTACTGTCAAAATATTGCAAGTGTCAGAAGGAGAATGTATCTCAACAACAGATGACGAACAAGTTTAGATTGTCACACAACTGTAAAAAAAGTATTTTTCAGTATAAAAGTAAAAACAGTATTTAATAAGAATGCCTTGGTAGTTTTAAAAATATTAAACAAGAGTAATTGAAAACATATGAATAGGTAATTTGTAATTCATGACTTTTACGTGACCACATTTTTTACTGTGTTTAGTGTGACTACTAGCTTATCTTCATCTTCCAATGGCATCTATTCCAAATAAACATTATAAAATATATTAAATAACTATATTCACTTCCACAGGCAGCGGAAGAGATGGTTCGTTTTCAGCTATGTCATGGGAATGATCTGCTCGCCATGGATAGTTTAAGAGACTGTGATGTAAGTTTTTTTAATTTTTTTTTAAACGGATTAATTTTTCTAATTATAAAAGTTAATGACTGATTAGTACACAAACATTCGTGTATCATTTTGTGGGAAGATGGTCTGAAAATGCTGCATATTATATCGATGTTTGTTCTAGGTGAATCTGAAGGAGCAAGGACGGCTTCTGCGTCAGGGTGAATTCATAGTCTGGCAAGGGCGATCTCGCAAGTCATTACGCCATGTTTTTCTCTTTGAGGACCTTATTCTTTTCAGTAAAGCTCGAAAAGATTTCAGTCAAAACAGTCATGACATTTACCAGTACAAACACAGCATAAAAGTGAGTATTACTAATCTACCTGGTATACAGTCATTTGTATAATTCAGTCTCGTTTATCGTTTATTTAAACGGATAAACCGTAATAAAATGGCACTTTTAGATTGCAGAAAATAAAACAGATTTTTTTTTAATACTTGGAAAATCACTTTAATATTTTGTGGCAACTTTTCTATCACTTGTTCTTTTTTAAAAGTCCTGTTGTTTTTTTCTTGTTCAATTATTTTAGACATCTGACATTGGAATGACGGAATGCGTAGGTGAGAGCCTTAACAAGTTTGAAATCTGGTTCCGTAAAAGAAAACTAAATGATATATACATACTTCAGGCACCAAACTCTGATGTGAAAGCTGAGTGGGTTCAGGAAATCTCCAAGCTTTTGTGGAGACAGGCATTAAGAAACAGAGGTAAGATTTTTTTTTTTCACAAAATTTCTTAAGTTTCTCTTGTGGTACAGTTTGATTATTTTGTGTTAAAAAGATTTATCGTAACTTGAATAACGATCCGAAAAGTATCAAATACATTAAAAGATTTCTGTTATTAAAGACGTTTTTTTCTCCTTCCCTCAGAAATGCAGTTGGCAGAAATGTCGTCCATGGGGATTGGTAACAAACCATGCTTAGACATCAAACCTAGCGAGGACCAAATTCATGATCGCTTAGTCGCAATCCAGCAAAACCATAGAGGTGAGTTGTTGTGCATGTGTTCATTAAGGAGAGAGAAAAAATACCATGCTGGTGTTTAGTATATTTAATAACTTATTTATAAACATGTAGTTATTACGATACAGAATATTAGATAGATGGCATGTATATGAATTTTTTGTCTTTATTACATATCTCTTGTTAATATATGTTAGCATAATTTTATATTTTTGTTTTTAGGTTTAGTAGTAGAAATAGGATGTAAATTAGGAAATTACTGAGGAAGAAAAAAAACAACATATTCTTATAAAATATATAAGTTGTTTCAGATTTATTGTATGTTTACGTATAAGAGTTGGAGAAGTGATTGACAATTTAAAGGTGAAAATGTTTGATTTTTTTTTTTTCTTTAGTCCCACGCTTTAGGAGTTCAATTGCCGTATCACCCAGTGATCAACTACGAAACAACAAAAGACCTCACTCCATTATTTCCGTGAGTAGCACCTCATCGTCGGGAAGCAGTCATTCTTCGTATACTGGTTACGGAGCCTCAAACTTTGGGTTTGAACTGCAGAGCTCTGTCGAAGAAGAGTCTCAGTATTCTGCAGGTGGGTAGTACAGATAATGTGCTGATAATGGTAGAATACGGATCGTATCAACTCTGTGTAAAGATGCAACACGTAACAAAACACAAGGAATTCAGGCTAATCTTTGTTTTTTTAATTGTAAAATTTTTAATTTAGTTACTCCAGTAAGATTTAACACCTTTGATGTTTGTATACATATATGACTCCTTTCTTACATACCCAACATTAGCAAGTTTTTCTATTTTACTATTGGATTTGCTAGACTTTTCACCAGAAACTAATAATATTGTCAAACTTTAAAAATTTAGCTGTGCTTGTAATTGTATAAATAATTACTAATCCTTGAAATATTATACTAGAGGTTATAATTTTATATGGCAAGGAATAAACTTGCATGATATTTATTTATAATGGTGTAAAAATAGCTGGAGTTTCAATAAAATAGTAATTTAGCTGCACGTTTTGCATACTATATCTTAGTGATTTTTGTATTTATTTACAGAAAGTGGTATTGGTACGGATATTAGTATGTCGTCAGGTGACTGTTCGCTGAACAGGTCCCGCCACAAGAAGCCAGAACGTAGTGACAGCATTCTGTCTAATGATTCTATAATCACAAATTCATCAACTCCAGGAAATTATTTCTTCGAGGAGCAGCTATTGGAAGAGGTGCGTAACTGGGGAGTATTTTAAATTTCACATGTTTATTAAATTTTTAAAACAGATACTCTGCACATTACAAAACAGTTTCTATACTTTTACCTACTCACTTATTACTGTTAATTCACCTTCTCACTATGTGTCTTTGAAGCTCCATCATCAAAGTATAGAATATATACAGTCGCAAATAGTTATTTATGGGCTTAATATTTGGATCAGTGAGAAGTAACTAGCGGAAGGTTTAAAACAGACACTTTCAAGTGTAGGTAATCTTATCTCAGAATTTTCTGTAGGATTTCGGAACAGAGGGTGAAATACGCATAGGGGACATATTCTGAGGGTGGAGCTTTGAAAACCCTGAAACAAATGTGTGTGTGTGATCATCACTTAATAACTACGAACCTGAGTAGGCATCCTTTAGTCTTCGGGCCGATTCAAAGATGTGAAAAGTAACAGTTCATAATCAATTATTGACTGCCTTACAAAAAGCTGCCTAACAACTTGACTAAAGCTATATTTCCTTTGAATGCAAAGATGTATGTTGGATAGTACCATCTTCGAAATAAAGGTCTTCATTCACAAACAAAAGAATCCCCCGTAACAATTTCTTATCGATATTTATTAGATTCAAGGTCTCTTAAAAAAATGTTTATTTAACATAGTTCTTCTGCACTTTTTTGTATGTAGCTTAAAATTAAAATAAAATTGATGAAAAACAAACACAATTGAACATTTCATATTATCTGGTATATTGTCATCTTACTATAATGAAGGTAGCGTGTATCTATGTATGTGTCCGAAATAATAAACCTATTAAGTGGCACCACAAACAAAAATCCATAAAAAAAAATTCACATTTTGGGATATTCAAAATTTGGACAATTAGAAAAAATAACTGATATGTGCAACAACCATTTCTTTATAACAGCACACAATTTTAAATAAAACTACTGTCCTCACAACAAGAACATGACTTTCATTAGGACTGTACGTGAGGGTTTCATTATATCCTTACTGATGTAATTTGTAAATATAGTACTGAAAATATATAGTTCTTATAAAAACTTATTTTTCAATAAACGGTACCACTTTTAATATATAAAAACATTACAGTTTATATCAGTTAAAGTTATGAAAATTTTGAACTCTGTACATTGAATCGTTTTGATGCAGTACTTCCCAGAAAAAAATCATTTTTTAAAAAATGTTCACTTTTTCTATATATATTTTTTTTCCAATGAGTTATGAATACTGCGATTAGTAATTACAATATTATATAGCTGCCGCCTAGTGGTAGTAATTTAAAGAAATATTTCTGAAACTTACAATTGTCTTTGTTTTTTTCTCAGTTCTCTAATTATGAAGTTTCAATTATTAATTATATAAGTGAAATAAAAGTTTTAATACTGAAAAACCCATTAATTCTAGAAATAATTTAAATATTCTTGTCAGAGTTAGAATGAACTTAAATGTAATGCTAAATTTTTTTTATTACATTCTGTACAAACGGTATTTTGATCATAATTTCGGCCAGTTTTTTTTTTATTATCTGTTTTGAATTTCGATGTTATTTATAGAAATTAGGTTGACAACCAAAAAGGACATTAAAAAAAAACATTATATTTTAATGTTTCATCTCTGGGTCTCTGATAACCTGTGTACACAAAGATAAAATAACCAATTTTTTTCACATAGCCTGAAGAAACCACTGCTATATGATCCAGAGAGCCTCATATATATCCTAGTCAGCTGAGACGTTTGTTGGATCCAAGAAAGGAATAATCAAATTTGTGCCAAAAGGTTGACAAAACTAATAAATCCGTATCAGGCAATGTTTAAAGGTTCTATGTGTAACTCAAGGCTGTAGATTAACTTTCATATATTGTTGTATTTGTGGTGTAATAAACAAGTAAAGTTGTAAAGTTATTGAACTGTATCAGTTATGGTGCCTTAAATATAGGTAATTCATAACATAGGATATGCAGCAATACTTAATTTTTTTTTTTTAAATTTATGTGTAATTTTCTCTTGTAAAGTGTGTTTAATATTTTGTACAGATTTTTGGTTTTGTAACTGATAAACGTACATTATTATAAAAATATCAATTTTAATATTTTATATTTAAGATCATTAGCGTAGATAAAATGATTTCATGTACACTACAGCATGTTTGTAGAAACAAAAAAAAAATTGTGACAAGTTGTCTTTTTATGTAGTTTTTATTTTGTACTTTGTGTTTAATTATTGATAAAATTATCTACAGTACGGTAATGGGGTGAACTAAGACATTCTTTTCGGTATATTGACTCAAGGAAAAGAAGGATTAATGATTAAAGCTTAAATAAGTTCTAAATTGTTTTTTTTTTTACTAATATTGTTTCTCATGACTTGATGGTTCCAGGGAGAAGTTAACAGAGACACTTAAGAAGAAACGAAACTTCATATAATGAAACTGTTAAGTACTTCGTTGTGTATTAATAACTATTACATATATGTTCTACTGAAAAGATAAAAAATGATACTAACCCTAACATCTTTAAACTAACAAGTAAACCGTAGGTTGTAAAAAATATATTCTTAAGCCTTACGAAGAGCTTATACTGTACAATAACACGTAGAAACAGTTTAACGGTTATAAGAATAACACTACACATTCTACTTGCATAATTAGGCCTAAACTTGCAGTGTACTGACACAGTGATAGTGTTTAGCAGTTCGGGAAGTACGTCCAAATGAAAATTATAACGTTTTGGAGTAAAAATTTAGGTCCTACGCTACAGCTTGTTTATTTACTTGGACTTTGAAGTAACGAATAAAAAAAATCACAGAAATATAAGGTTGTTTACTGTGAATTATTTATGTACATAAGTCTGTATAATGACGTTGGACAGTTTTTAAAGCCAGTGATGATTTTGTACTATAAGCATCAATACTCTTGATTGTACCCCTAGCGACACCTATTAAGACATTGGGGAATTGTTCGTAATGTTAAATAAAAAAGTATGTTATTACTAAAATTGTGGTGATTCGTATTTACTTTAACATGTATAAAAAGTCAGGAGAATAAATAAATAAAGTAAGAATATTGAAGGTTTATATTCAAGGTTAAAAACTATATCAAACAAAAATATCAAAACTAAATTAATTTTATATATGATTCGTTGTTTCTTAGATCGTTCTCGCAGTGGTAATAGTTTACGAGTTTTTTCGAGGGATGTCCGTGAGAGCCCTGAAAATAATCAATATTAATTAATAACTTCCCGTATATCGCTAAAAGTGGGTTTTTAATTGTAGTTTTATATACATATAAAGCATTTTGGAAGCATTTTTTTTAATCAAACGTAGGACATCTTTTATTGGGATGTCTCGGGAAGTGCATTTGGTAACTTTGCAATTTTAATAAACTTTTACAAGGTTATTTTACGTTTGTTTGTTTGTTAGGGGGGATAAGCCCATTTTAGACGTACCTCTAAATTACGAACCGATAATAGAAACCACTTTCTGGATATATGAATATTTTATAAAATAATACAAAAAGAAATCGACCCAAACACTCGAAAAGTGGATTCTTCTTCATCAGGAGTACCTTTCGCTAAAAAAAAATAAAAATGGTGTGATATAATTCCCCATATTTCAGTAGGCACTATGATGTATCTTACGCTTTTCTTTTTAAAATAGATGATTGTAATGATGTTCAAAATTTTGAAATAAATTTAAGTTTCTCGATGAAACATTACTTTAGGCTCTCTGGCTTTAACGATTTGGTGGCCTCGAGGGAAGCGAAATTAGTGGTCCCCTACCTCTGCTGTAAAAAAATAAATAAAAAAGGGTTAAAACTTGATCTTGACGTTTTCAATGCATAAAATTGATTTTAAAGTTCAATGAACATTTAAATGTATAATTGTTTCTAAAAGTAAAAAAGTGATGACATCGTCGTTGATGAAAGACAAAAGTTCTTCCGCTAGGAGGCCACAGTTACCAAGCTCCAAAGTTGAAATTTTGTTGACAGTAATACTTGCATGATGTTTTGTATTGTTCACATGGTGTTAATTGAAATAAACACGACAAAATTATTTTAAATTACATTTTCTCTTTTGTACAATCATAACGTGACCAGGAATTTCGAACACCACACTTAATACCGGCCATGTTTTTGCGTTTTTATAGACGCAGAAAACTTCTGTTTATATGGAGTACAATCTTATTACTGTGTTTTGAATATTCAAAGAAGTTTTGAATATAATTTCTAATTACATAACTTTACAGTTTTCAAAATATCGCAATATTAATCAAATTTATAAATTATTTGGGTGAAACAAATTGTACGTCTATTTTGAATTTAAAAAAATTAAAAACTAGACAATAATATCTTATTATTGTATTGTGTTTGATTTTAGAATTTAATTTTTAGCTTGATTATTACCCGCCAAAGTTGACACTTCATATTGTTGTCTTACCTTTTAATAGAGGGCGCCAGCTGATGCCTTTCTTCAAGATCCCTGTTTCCATGTTTTACCACAATCAAACCGAATCTAATGAAAATATTCAATTGGAATTCCGAGAACGTGGAGGTAAAGCAAGTCAGTTAACCTTTCAATGTTTAACACTTTGACACATGTTTTAAACGAGAACTCCCAGTATTATATTCATATCGGTCACAAAAGTAACAAAAATATTCCTTGAGAAGCTTGACCGCAGTTTTCCCATTCCTCAAAAAAGAAACATTATTAGGAATTTTAAACCATTTCAAAACTATATTTGAAACGATAGTAGCGTGCAGTACAAGAAATATAACGCATTGGTTTGTTTTGTCCAATAAAGATGTTAAGGCTTAACAAAGATGATTAAAACCGCGCTTGACTATAGGTGACTTTCTGATAAGAGATGTAAAAATAGCATTTCACATCTATCATTTATCTTCCACTAGGCCCAGTAGGTGTGTGTGTAAATAATGTTAGTTATCTGTGCTAAAAAAATAAGCAAACTATATATATATATATATATATATTGTTTCTGAAACGTGTTTTTGCCTTCCAGGACAACTATGTAATTTATAAAGTAATTTATATTAATCATTTTCGTAATTTATTTGTAGGACTAATACGGAAGATAACACAGGCCTGCGAATTTAAACTTCATCAAAGTTGTTTTGGTTTTAATAACGGATTTCCCATAATTCAGCTACACACATTTCAAAAGTAATATTAATTTTTTTCTATCACGTAAATCTTTTTTTTACAAATCGGGAATAAAAAACTCTTTCTTCGATAAACTTATTATTTCGTTTACCACAATGAACATTTTTTATTATCATGTTTGGGTTTTAGAACGATCGATAAGACTCTCACGTCGCGATTGGTCTAGAGACATCTATAGCCAGTGGTTGCCAACATTTTAAGCACAACAAAATAGGACCCGATTTCAATGAAAATGATTCACTTATGTAAAAGTACATATGACGTTTTGTGAAAAATCTGTACGTGGTGGAGAAAAATGGATATCATTTTCGGATTCAGCGTATATCATTTACTGTAGAACATGTAAAAATTTCAAGACAATAAACCATCGTAGGCCTGTGTTATTAGTGTTTTAATTTGAGGCTATAATTTCGGTATGGAAGAACTTATCAGTCGTTTTTTTTTGTTAATTACTTAAAAGGCAAATATTTCCCAAATGAAACATAGCCTCAGTCACATACGTCATTTATTTACCTTTGTGACGATTCGGTGTCAGTGGCAACACGTAACCGGAACGTGCACAAAAAATATATATATAAAGAGGTGTTACATTTGGAGCAAAAAAAAATTAGCGCTGAAGCCAAAGTGTGGAGTCCAGAAAGACTTTTGTAACTTTCACAGAAAATAGCGCATTTAGATGGTAGTTGAGGCTATTTTTATACTTTTGAAATATGCTTGAAATAGGCTGAATGTCTATACATGTGTACAGAATATGACCAAAATATCTACTTTAAAATTTACGGAGTGCTGAAGACGTTAAGCCAGATCATCTCCATAGGTTCATCAATGTTAAGTGCCATTATTTAAAAATCTGCAAAAAACAACAACAAGAGAAGCAATTTATAATGACAATCGACTTTTGTGACACCCTCTACACATTTCGTCCCCCACCCCAGTACCCATCACTAAAGGCGAAAATGAAAAGAAAGACTACTGTCCATTTTTTGTCTCCCCCCCCCCTCCAGTGGCAAAGCGGTATGTCTGCGGGCTTATAACGCTAGAATCCGGGTTTCGATACCCGTGGTGGTGGGCAGAGCACAGATAGCCCATTGTGTAGCTTTGTGCTTAATTACAAACAAACCATTTTTTTTGTGTGTATCGGATATACCACGTTTCTGAATTAAGCAGTTTCAGGGAAGTTCTCCCCTCATCATTAACACCGGACGAGGCTAACCAAGGGACAAGCTAAAATATCTTATAGTGGGGAAAACTGCTGTTTACGAGTATGATGTTTTATTATCACTTATTAACCACAAGTTTGTTTTTTAACGCCTTTTTTTGCCATCTTTGGTAATCAAACCTACCATGCTCTGCTATTAATAACTTTGAAAAAAAAAGTTTCACGAATATTACATGAGTTATTAGGATTTCCTAATATCGATAGACGATGTGAACATAAATTAACATTTTAAAGAAAACATTGGCTTTGAACGAACTATTTTTTTTTGTGCGGAAGAGCACAATTTATTATACGACTACCATCTATAACGCTTTCAGAAGAAGCGTGATTGGCCAGACTAGTTTTTGTTGTTTGATTTAATGGCAGGAAATCGTTAACAAGGTTTTCAGACATTACGTACGACAGAAAAACTATGTTAATGTCTGGTTTGGAGTTAAGCACGCTGTGTTAAACGACATAACCTGATCCTGTAATTAAACCTCGCGTATATTACTACACCTTGTTTCGTTTCGACTTGCACTCAATGATGTAAATGAAGGCGAAACGTCATTAGATAATAAATAATTCTAGTAACAATACAGAGCTTGGAAATCTAAGAATGCGACCAGCCTGTTACACCCTTATAATAAGTTTTCAAGGTTTTTGTCTGCATTAGCACGTGACGAGCGTGTTTCTGCAGCACATACATTAGAGAAGATTTTGATATAAAAATTTTGTTAAGAGAGACAAACAGAATTAGGAAATTACTAGCGTAAGAAAAATATTTAATTCAACCAGTGATAACGTTAACGTTGTATTATATTTCCTGGAGAAAAAAAAAACATCACCAACAACAACTCCTGCTTTTTATCGTCTTCTTCCACTCGTGAATTATTTGGTTTCGTGATATTTTGATGTTCTGTACCAAGTTCCTTCTGAAAGTATTGTTACGACAGCTGGGGTCACGTGACACCAATAACACGTCACATTCTCGAAGGTTCGTGAAGTCTCGAGCTTTTACCAGATATGCGGTATTCTTGTGTATATAAGACCGGTAAGAAGTGACGGCAACAATGTAATGTAATTGAACTGCAGACAGAGATAGAGATTGAGTCGAGCACGTGAGTCGTTCGTGTGAATTATAGCGTGACTGTGGAAATTAAGTGTATTGCAAAGTTGTATTCAGAAAGAATAAACCAGTTTTATTTAAGAAAGGACTTGTATCGGTAAAGTTTCTTCGGAAAGAATTTTTACGGAAAATTAACTAACGACCAGAGGCGTAACAGTATCATTTAGTAATAAAACCTCTTCGCACAAAAGTAAAATCCGTTTATTAAAGATTAGACACACATCTTTAACTTTTGTGTTTTATGTATACTGTGCCATTAGTTATAGTTTATGATTTTGTTATCCAAATAGGATCAGTTTTCTTCATATATCAAGGAAGACGTAACTCTAGGGCCGGGTGTGGCTTAGTGGTTATCGTGCCTGGACTACGGATCCGAGGATTACAGTTAACGACCCGATGCTGCGAAAAACGCACTCTGGACTTTGGAGTCACGGGTGCGTTATAAGCGTAACGGTTAAGTATCATACTATTCGGTCAGACAAGAACAACTCTAGATTAGGTGATAGTTGCGTTCCATGTAGTTCATCCATAGTCAGTGAAACCGGGGGGGGGGGGGTCACGTGCCTCCAACTTTTAACCCAGTAGTGAAATGAATGGGAAACAGAGGTTTGTGCATAATTTGAGGCAAATCCACTGATTCAACAAAGCATATAAAGTGCACCCCCCCCCGAAAAAAAAAATAATTGTCCGCCGCCTGAGAGTCTACCAGTTCACAATTAAGGACGGCTATGCGCATATAACCCTTGTGCACTGGCGTATTCAAGAATTTAAAGGGGGGAAGTCTTAGTATTCACATTTGCATAAAATTCTGGCAACCGTGAATATAATTTTGAGTGAATTAGATGAAAGTTGAAGCTGAATATCAGACAGCAAACAATTACATAACGAAATTAGGAATTGTAGGGAAAAAATCTGTGAAAATAAACATACTAGCCAAAGGGGGGACTAAAAATAAACATACTAGCCAAAGGGGGGACTGAAAAATAAACATACTAGCCAAGGGGGGTGAAAACAAACATACTAGCCAAAGGGGGGATTGAAAATAAACATACTAGTCAAGGGGGGGACTGAAAAGTAAACATACAAGCCAAAGGGGGGTGGACTGAAAATAAACATACTAGCCAAAGGGGGGACTGAAAGATAAATATAGTAGCCAAAGGGGGGGTCTGAAAATAAACATACAAGCCAAAGGGGGAATTGAAAAATAAACATACTAGCCAAAGGGGGGATTGAAAATAAACATACTAGCCAAAGGGGGGATTGAAAATAAACATACTAGTCAAGGGGGGACTGAAAAATAAATATACTAGCCAGGGGGGCTGAAAAATAAACATACAAGCCAAAGGGAGGGACTGAAAAATAAACATACTAGCCAAAGGGAGGGACTGAAAAGTAAACATACAAGCCAAAGGGGGGGACTGAAAAGTAAACATACAAGCCAAAGGGGGGTGGACTGAAAATAAACATACTAGCCAAAGGGGGGACTGAAAAATAAACATACTAGCCATAGGGGGGACTGAAAATAAACATACTAGCCAAAGGGGGACACATAGCCGCAATCCCCCCCCCCCTGTCTACGCCAGTGCCCTGGTGTAACCTTGGGATAAACTTCTCAGACAAACAATTAACCGATAAAAATGTCTTTTGGAATTTGGTAATTCAACCAGAACGGCACCTTATGCAAGGCATGGACTAAACGGCCAGGTCAGAGACCCCGACTTTCAGGCATAGTTGTCCCAAATTTAGAACTTTTGACCAGAAGGAAGGGGGGTCCAATCAGTCAGCAGCACCCGCTGCTTATACGGCTATCCTAAATAAAATAACAGGACTGACTGTTAGTTTTATAACGCGTTCGCAGCTCAAAGTTTGAAGCATGTTTAACAGCATATTGCTGACGTAAACCTTGGACCTTCTGATTCGCAGCCCGGCACACTAACTACTAGGCCTTATACGGCTATTCTAAATAAAATAACAGGACTGACTGTTAGTTTTATAACGCGTTCGCAGCTCAAAGTTTGAAGCATGTTTAACAGCATATTGCTGACGTAAACCTTGGACCTTCAGATTCGTAGCCCGGCACACTAACTACTAGGCCTTATAGGGCTATCCTAAATAAAATAACAGGACTGACTGTTAGTTTTATAACGCGTTCGCAGCTCAAAGTTTGAAGCACGTTTAACAGCATATTGCTGACGTAAACCTTGGACCTTCCGATTCGCAGCCCGGCACACTAACTACTAGGCTTAAGATATTTAAGAAGTTCTGGAAAAGAAAGATAAGCGAAATTATTTTCATAGTTACATATTTATGACCAAGAGAAAATTTTTTTCTCTATTCTTTTGCAAAACACAATTTATTATAGTTGAATGAAATAACTGAACTGTTAATAAACATATAAACATGACTGCAAACTATATGTACAGATATATATCAGCATGAAAAATAAACCACGAGGAAGATCTCAAAGATATTGAAAACTGTATACGAATAACAATTCTTAAAAAAAAAAAAACAGCGACGTTTCCATGGAATTTACTAAAACTTTTGCAAATCTGCAATAATCACAAGTATACACAAGTTTTGTTTTTGAAAAATCCCAGAATTCTCAGAAGTACAGAAAGCCTGACGTATTTATTGAAGCCTAAAATATTTATTGAAAATTTACAGAAGTTTACAAACTTAGTGGCGATGACAAAACCTGTAAAGTTAATAATGAAAATATTTGCCGTTAAAAGGCGACACCTGTAACAAATTTTATGTATCGTAGCGAATACATAAAGAACGTAAGCCTTATTTTACTACTTGCTAACGGTTCTGAAATCGGTAATTAATGAAGATAACACAATAATCGCTTGTATTTTTAATTTTTTGAACGCCAACTGGAGTTATTATTAGAAACATTTTCTAAAATACATACACCACGAGCTCTTTTTCCAGAGCTCTATTTTTATATTAAAGCCCCCTGGTGGCTTAGTGGAAAGTCTAAAAATTGGGTTTCGATACCGGGTGAGAGCAAAATACAGATAACCCATTGTGTAGCTTTGCGCTTAACAACAAAAATGTTGTTATTACAACTCGAGTTATAACAATAACAGTAGACTGCAGATAGAGGTCGTGATGTATTAATTTCAGAGGAAATTGTGAAAATATTATTCCGTAACAAAAAAAATATAAAACCAAGGATATATCTATAGTAAAAAAGGTATAAAATTTAGAATTGTTCTATAGAAAACAGGCATAGCATATGAGGTCTGTTATGTATAAAAAAAAGGCGTAAAAACCAAGGAATTTTGTATTTCAAAAAATATGGCAACAAGATGTCGTTATTAAAAAGGCTTAACAGATATAAGAACGTATATATCTATAAAACTGGTATTTTAAGTGCTGTCAGCGTCAACTGAAGTTTTCTATGAGACAAAACTTTCAAAAATAATAAACACACGACCTCTGTCATCAGAATTTGTAATGCGATTGCTCTGTTTTGTTTAAAATATTTTTCTTACTGAGTGTCTGTAAGATGTCAGTAGTCGGTAAGAGAAGACAGGGAAAGCCAGTAGAGCGTTAAAGAAATAATTGCAGAAGACCTGACAACATGGGCGTCCGCAGGGGGGGGGGCACTTGTTCCCACCTGGAAAATGAGAAACATAATTCTTTCTTTTTTCATTCAGCATTTGTTTATGAATGTTTTATTCAATTTACAATTTCACACTACTTTGCCGCCCCCTCCACCCTTGAAAAATTTCTGCGGACGCCCATGCCTGGCAATGAACACAGATGATTGGAGGAGGGGGGGGGGGCAACACGTGCGAAGGACTGTGACCCCTGCTAAAGTGAAAATCCGAAAGAAGTGTCTGCAAGATGGGGGGGGGGGACACAACGAATTAGAAGAACTGTAAGGTATTAAAAGGTTGAAGTCGTGTGTCTATTATTCTTTTACCCACCTGGTGAGGAATACAAGCTTATCAGAAACTACACGTGCACACAGTTCTCTCACTAAAAAACCATTAATCGAATAATGTTGAGACAAACGCCGTACATCGCTCATTGATAAGTCATCTTGTAGGATCCATTTTGGTGTTTTTGCGCGAGTAAATACGACCACCAATTTAAATTTGTCCCAATTTGAATTCCGTGACCAGCAGTATAGTTTCTTCAAAAAATAACCTTTGTTTGTGTAAGTCATGATGGTTTGTCCTAATTCCGCGCGAGAGATGTTAAGAACTTGTGCATCACAGGAATTCCCTGCAGAAGAGGTTCCAGTACCAAGCTCGTTCTTCCTCACTACGTCTTCAAGAATTAGTCCGCTTCCATTTTGAGAGGACCCCACGAACGTCTCAAGGTTTACAAAAAACGGCTCTGGACCTTTCTGGAATAACTGGGATGATGTGTTGTCTTGGTACAAGATAAAAGAAAAACAATTACATTTTTTGTACACAAAATAACTTACAAAAGTGACAATTAGTTGTGATTGGTTGACGTTACGAAAATAGGTTACAACGTCACTCGCGTGGACACGAAATTTGATCATTACTTGTTTGGACCCATCTTTAGTTTTTATTACTAAGTCTGCCACGTCGGGATACACAAGAACTGGAAGAGTTGGCATTGGGATGCTGTCAAACACGCGTTTAAACTCGTATATTAACCTGCGATTTTTCTTTTCCCGAAAGACTACAACCCAACAGCTACACCTTTTTTGACCCGTTTTTGTTATACTTTGTATTGTATAGCGAGTATTATGTAAAACATTGTCACAAGCGATTACGAAGTCATTTGAACTTGTTCTTCGATCTGATTCTGTCCACAATTTATCGTGACTGTTGACGTGGAACCCTAAAGCAAGCCACTTCGTGACAAGCTGTGGACAACCACTAGGGGGTTTACTCAGCATTCTTGAAACTGTTGCGTTGGAGATGAAGATGATGGGAGATGATGAGCAATAAAAAGAAAACAAACGTAGCAAATCAGTGGCAGAAAACTTCCATGAAAAGATCTTGTCGATGTATTGCTTCCTGCTGATATGGTGATATCCATCATTGGAGGGCTTGATATAAGGATCGCGTGTGGGCTGAATAGAATTAACATCTTCGTCAGGACGACAATGACTTTCATTTTTAACACTAGGCCGCATTCCTATTGGCTGAAGAATGTGTTGATTTACATAATCTTTCCAAGACATTGAAGTTAGTGATTGTAAAATATAGGCTAGAACCAAGAAACCCTCGGGACCAGGGCATTGCTGAAAACCGGGTGGGTGGACCAAAGGTTCTCGTACCAGACAGTGTAAGAATTTCGTGAAGAATTTTTGACTTAAGACTCCAGTTTTTTGGAAATCTTCAGGTAACTGCACAGTTAAGCTGACCCGACTTTTACTGTTTGTTACACACTCCAATCCTGATGTTTGATCTAAGAGATGATGAATCTTAATTTCATACAGCCGTGAATCACTTACTTGACATCTGAAGCGTTCCCAGTGTAAAAATGAATTAATAATTCCACTGGAACCAAAAACTTTGTCGTGTATATTTATTTGTTGTGTTTCCACAAGTTTTAGAATCGCCAGTCCAATCAGATGCTTTGTTACACTAGCTGAATTGACGTAAGGTACAGTTGGTTCTGAGCCATTGTTATACACTTGTTGGTATACAAGAGTGCCATCTAGTGTTACCCCTAAGAAAGCTTCAGAATAATTGTAGTTTTGCATAACTCGTGAAACTTCATCATCAATAAGGCGGGAGTCGTTGTCAGAAAAATAAAAAGGACGAGGTATTTTTCCCGTACCTATAAAACACCATTAAATTATATAGACCAAGGAACCAGTAACTCTTAGTCTTGAAATAACATTAGCACAGAAAATAGTAGACAAAAATTATTACGATAATCAAAATTAGATATAAAAATAAGGTTAAGACGTAATTCTAAGAGTTTATTGGTGAACATAAAGAAGAATGTATAACAGTATCTCAACCACACTATATCTGCCATATGCAGTGCCGACGAGGCCTTTCGCTCAATACCACGGTTCGCCAGACCAGCTTGGATATCACAGAAACAGTTCAGACTCTATAAATTCGAGTTCAAATGATTATTTGATAATTCTATTATCTTTTTTATTAAAATATCTTGTAGATTATTGAACTAAAATAAATATCCTTAATGTTTCAGACCTCGAGAACAAGGACTTGTTTGAAATTTAACTTAATTTCCACATGACACTAAACAGATTAATCGTAAGTCATATTTCGTTAAACACTGGAAATGATTTGTTCGGTTAAATATATATATATAATTAATTAAATTATGTTCATATCGCAGTTCCCAAAATTATGATTTGGTTTGTTTTGAATTTCGTGCAAAGCTACACTAGGGCTGTCTGCTTTAGCCGTCCCTAGTTTAGCAGTTATAGACTAGAGGGAAGACAACTAGTCATCACCATCCACCGCCAACTCTGGGGCTATTCTTTTACCAAGGAACAGTGGGACTGACCGTCACATTATATCGCCCCCACATTTGAAAGGGCGAGCATGTTTGTTGGAACGGGGACTCGAACCAACGATCTTTAGACCGAGAGTCAAGCGCCCTAACCACCGTATACTTTAGTGCGCCATATTAAAACCTCATCTTGGAGTTAAGTTTAAAATGTATTACTGCGCCATATCATGTTGAAGTTAAGACATGAACGTGTATTAGAGCCCCGTGTTTAATTGCTATTAGTTAAGAGCATTAATTAATGTTTTCTTACGAGGAACCAGATTAAGATGGTGATCACGTTGTCCGAACAGCCAAAAAATTCAAGGTAACCTGTTTAGTGGAATATTTCCCTCTCGTCAGACCCACACGCATGAGTAAAGAGAGATATGTCGTATACATAAAAAAACCATGTGCAGTGTCATGTCGCTGTAATGTCAACATTATGAATTAACGAATGTCTATCAAGACTGTCTAATGAAATAAGTATAACATTTATAATTTGTCAAACGGAATTCATATGGTAAAAAGTTTACAGAGATACGCCTACGTAGCGCTTAGCTCCTATTGTAGCAGTACATACATGTTAACAGATGGCGCTTTCCTTGATTAAAAATAAATGGAAAAATGTATAATTAATTACAAATAATAGATAGATAGTTCTTCCATTGATTAAACACAAAATTAAAACCATAAAACTAATTATATGTAATAAAAAAAATGTGTTTCCCTTGATTAAATACAAAGTTAAAACCATAAAACTAATTATATCTAAT